GCCAGATATACATATACATATAAATATATACAATACAAATATATCAAAATATTCGGTGGCACGCTCGTATCCGAGGATGACGGTCGCGTGTCAGTAGGTGTTTGGTCAACACCCACAGACCCCGTTTGTAGATTATACTGCAACTATGCTGAGCGGACCTTTACATTTACTCGGAGAGAGTACATTACCTGGCGTGATCAACTCTCTGAATATGTCCAGCACACTCAAACCCTCGGTCACGATGACTTGTGACTTCGTGCTAGTACAACCATCGACGACTGCCAAATAGTTTTGTCTATTCAGTTAACACTCACAACCTGTGGAGTGGGTTTCAGGTCCTCCAAAGGTGCCTCACGCTAAGTGTAAGTTTTTGTAATTTAACAGAGTGTAAAAGGAGTAGTTAGACGGTTAACTTAACGGAAGTGATATATTGTAATGGGAGGGGAGAAGGGAGAAAAGAAAAGGAAAAAGTAAAAAGTAAAGAGAAACAGGCTGTAATTGGGTTTTAGCAATTTATGCAAAGAATAGATTGTAATGCTTGATAGTTATTTAGATGTCTAAAAAAACAAAGAAATTAATATGATGCTATCAATTTAAATATTTCATTTTTTTACTAATAGTTTAGGGATTTAATATAAGTTAAATACTATATTTATTAAAACATTTATAGATAACATATTAAAAAATTTTTAAATTATAACAATTTGTTTACCCGACCAATCGTACTTTTTTTAAAAAAGATATATGGAAAAAGAATTAAATATACATTGTTCTGTACCATAATGAAGTGGAGAAATACATTGAAAATACTTTTAAGCTCTGCCATTAATTATTCAATGCGAAACAAAAGGCTCATAAAATCTATATATAAAATTCTGTCTTCCATTAGTCCGTCCGTTATACCAGCTAAAATAGCCATACATTGACCAATTGAAACCAAATTTTGGCAAGAAGTGCAAACAGGTAAGGGGTTACAAAGTACAGTTGGTTTTACTAGGGTGCATAGCTTAGTATAATATATTTTCAATATTTTTTTTTGAAAAAAAATTATTTAACTTACAAAATACTCACATTATTTTAAAAAAATAATTAATGTTTAAAATGGCAAATGTTCATTTAATAAAAATGCAAAATTGTTTTTTGCATATCTTTCCATTAACTTGTTATATACAAGAATCCAGTTTCACGTTTGGCCTGCGTTTGCGAGAACTATGAACCAATCACAATGCCAAACGCTCTAAAAAGTTAGAATTTGGCTCCAGAACAAATATTTACGCATGATCATTTGTATGTTGCATGTTCAAGAGTAAGAGATCCTAAAACTCCATTCTTCGCTGTTAAACAGGAAAAAAGGTAAAAAATAAATTTTCTTAAAAAAATGTTTACCATGTTCGTGGGCATGTGGAGTTACTTCAACGTGAACATCACTTTCTTCTGATGAAATCCTATAGGAGGAAACGCGTCATATTAATGTTTTTTTCCACTTCGTCGTTAATTTTTCTAATACAAATATAAGTAATAATCATATATTTACACAAACATAGACACACACACAAACCCTAACTCTAACCCTAACCCACACACACAAATATACAGTTTGCGAGGGATAAATTGTTGTCTAAATTACGCAAAAATGATAATAGCACTGACATATCATTTTAACAGATATATTTACCAAAATTACACAAAATATCTTGGGATAATGAGCAGTAAATCTACTCAATAAAATCGCTACTAACTTCAAAGAAGACATCCAGACGACTTCGGAAACTCCTGCATCTCTTCTGGACGGTCACCATGTTTAAGCTAATGAATGATTCCATCATCCTTGCTTTCAGTTCATCTTTGGTCCTACAAGAAGTTTTGTTGATCTCTCGCTCAACCCAATAATCACATAATAATCTATGGGGTTGCAGTCTGTGGAGTGAGGTGACCAGAGTGATATGGTCGCAGAAATTGTCTGACAGCTATGACTGGGTTCTCATGCTTGTAAGTGCTCTTGCCAAACATAGAAACTTCCAGAAGCCACCTTCTTGACCCAGAACAGAACTTCTTCTTCAAGACACTTGATGTAGGCTTGGGGTTGAGTCTAAAACCCTCGCCAACAAACTCGAGAGATCTTTTGTTATCAGAACGATCAGAGTAAGTTTTTCGACCTACCATACCTTCGTAATGAACATTAGACTCATCCAACTCTTTCCGAATCATCCGCACTGACATCCAAATACTCTGGATTGTTCGTATTGAAGCTTCCAATGCGAATGCCAAGCAGTACAGAATGCCGTTTCCAAATTTTTTGCAGAGCGAAATGCATCATGATGCACTTTTTTTTAACACACGGTGTCCAACTGACCCTATTCTGTGCAGTCGACAAAAGCAAAAAGAAATGCGCATGCGTGAAATAAAACTATAAATTGGTGGCAATTTACCTATCGCATATATATATATATATGTGTGTCTGTGTGTGTGTGTGTGTGTGTGTGTGTGTGTGTGTGTGTTAGATATTGGTACAAGCATAAATAGATTTGCCGATTCTAATCTCCGAGGTGTATTCAGGAAGCCCCAAAGGAGAAGTCTACCAAGTAAATGCTGACATATTCAATCATAAATGATCAATATTCAATTACCACAACCCATAAAAAATTTATAGGCCCAAACGTAACGGTCAATATTTAAGTATCTCCGTGCTAAATTAATCATTACAGGCTTAAATGCAAACCTACAATATGTATCCTTTCCAGAACCAAGTAAATGTTTACGGCGCAACTATAAATGATCAATATTTACCTGTCTTGAAACAAGTAAATTCATTTAGATGAAAATATAAACGACTACTAAGAGTAACCTAAGTAAATCCTTAAATACTCAAAAATAAGGTCAGAATTACCTAACATCACAATACTTATAGACTCGAATATAAACTACCAATATTTCCCTATACTATACTCAAGTTAATTCTTATAGGCTTAAAAGTAAATGATCTGTATTTATCGATACCAGAACGAAATAACTGTTTACAAACTCAAGTAAAAACTTCCAATATCTGTTTAATTCTGAACTAAGTAAATGCATTTAGGCTCAAATATAATTTTTCACATATTGCCAAACACAGGGCATGCTTATAAAATCAATTATAAGCAACCAACATTTTCCTACATTTTGGGTAGATGTAACCGTAATTTCTTTGTTAATAGTTTATTTTCTCGCCCGTCTCGCCTTTGAAACTGACTTCTTGCTTCCAGCCGACATTTTATCTTCAAAAATTGAAATGCTGTTTTAATTGATATCTATTGTTTTCTTGATTACTCTTCTTTTAATTTCCCCGCTGTTTAATAGTGTTTTTCATTTTCTTATATCACACTTATGAACACCTTGTGACTTAGCGGCTTTATTTCTTTACTTGGGATAAAAAGATTAAAAAGAAATATACTTATATAGTTAAATGCTTATTGACTAAATTACAAACGACCAATATGTACATATTTCCTAAGAATGAAGTCAACGAATAAAATTAATTGTGCAAGTGTCAAAGACATTTGATACATAGATTGATAGATAGAAAGATAGACATATTCATACTTTCAATTATATATATATATATATATATATATATATATATATATATATATATGTGTGTGTGTGTGTGTGTGTGTGTGTGTGTGTGTGTGTGTGTCTGTGTGTCTATCTATCGATCTGAAGCTCTTCATTTTTTGTCCTAATTTCTTTCCATCTATCTATCTATCTATCTATCTCTCTCTCTCTCTCTATATATATATATATATATATATATATATATATATATATATATATATATATATATATATATATATATATATATATAGATAGATAGATAGATAGATAGATAGAGACAGACCGACAGAAATTAGATAGAAATGAAGATATTTAGAAAGAAAGAAAGAAAGAAAGAAAGAAAGAAAGAAAGAAAATATATATAGAAAAATGCACCGGTGTCATGTTATAAATACTACTTTATCAAGACTTCATATTTTATCAAAAAAGACTGCATCCTTGTATGTGCAACAAAACTGCTTCTTCCTTTGCAAACGAGGCAGAAGTTTTTGTATATATGGAAAAAACAGTGAACAAAATTCCCTCTCAGCCAACCCGTTTGTATTAAACTTTCCAGTTGCCATAATAGATTTTATAAAATTATTTTTATAAAATATATATCGTTGTCCCAGCTAAGACTAATTATATAAATCGATGAATAGCTATTGACTCAAATGCTTCTACAAGACTGAAGGGAATTTGTAGGACAGAAAATACACTTCGTCCGACATCAAGAACAGGGTCTACGACGTTATGATTATTTCCATAGTAATTTATTGAACACTGCGAACATGTGAGTAATGACCAAGTTTTGGAGAAAATGGAAACGAAAAGGAAACTAATAATTAACATCAGGAAGTGACAGTTGAGGTTTGTAAGGTTTATAATGAGGAAGGAATGTTTGGAAAATCTGATACTCACGGGACAGATAGAAGGCAATGAGACAGAGGAAGAAAACGTATACCATATTCAGTGAGTTTGACTAAATGAATGGTAAAATAGGGATTAGGAGAAATAAAAGAAAAACAAAAGTTTATTAAGAGCTACAAGGCATAGGAAATTGTTAAAAGCCATGGTCGCCTATGTCCGGAGTAGACATGAAGAAGAAAATTAAAGAGAACAATACATTGGCTCTCAGTCTTCTGCAACAGCAACCTCAGAGCTATGGCTGGAAAAATATATGATCTTATTTAGGAAGAAGTTAGATGTAAAGAGGTAATTGCCCAGATTAAAAGACGGAGAATAAACTGGTGTGGCTATGAAAACAATAGAGGTTAAAATAACAGTAAGGATAGATCGTGTGCTGCGGAAAATTCTTTGTCAAAAAAGCTGTAAATAGCACTTCGAAGACGAGATATAAATAAGGATCAAAAATATAAAAGAGGACATGAAAACACGTAAATGAAACAAATATAGAAATCCATCTGTACATGGCAGCATTGATTTTTCATCTATCTATCTATCTATCTATATATCTATCTATGGGTGAGACAGCAACTGCATATTAATAGGCATTAATTGGATAAAACAATTTAATTTTAAAAACATTAAGTTGACATAATTAAATATATAAATCATGGGTTCTTTCCCTCGCTCCCATCTTTCTCTCATGGGTGAGACACAAACACACACACACACACACACACACACAACAAATATAGAAATATATATGCAGAAATATAGTATTAAAATATTAAATATAGTAACAAATATAGAAATATTTATATATATAGAAAAAGTTGAGACAAATTAAAAAATAATAATGTTTTATTTTATGAAAGTATTTATCAGAAACAATATATAAATATATGATATATATATATATATCATGGGTGATATATATATATATATATAGACATATAAATATAGAAATATATATAGAAATAATTTAGAAATTGGGTCCTCAATATTTCATCAGGTGAAATAACAAATTTGTTACAAATAAATTAAAATTATGGGTTTGTTAACAAGTAAACAGATATCGAAAAATCATGGGTGAGACAGACGTATAGAAATCATATGGAACAGCACTGTTCGGATATTCCTAACATACATCTGTCATAAATATTTAAAATGTTGTTTAAATTTTTTTAACTATATCTAAAAAAAACAAATATAGAAATCATGGGTGAGACAACTATTGAATATATTTATGGGTGAGATTTAAAACAGAAATAGAAATTGGGTGAGTCCTGACAAATAAAGTGTTTATGGGTGAGACAGAAACAAATATAGAAATTATGGGTGAGAAAAACAAATATATATATATGGGTGAGACAGAAATATATTGGTGAGAAGAATTAGATATTAATATATATATATATATATATATATATATATATATATATATATATATATGCAGAAATATATTTTAAATCATGGGTGAGATTAATAGGATGAAATGCTCAATATCAAATATAGATATGAGCGTATGTAAATATAAATGTAAGAAATTGAAATCATTGAGACAACAACAAATATAGAAACATGGGTGAGACATGAAACAGATATAAAATCGTCATCCTTTAATGATAACATATATATATATATATATATATATATATAAATATATAAATATATATGAGACAGCAATGATAAAGATATATGCTTTAAAATATGCTATATTAATGACAGTTAAATTTATAGAAATCATGGGTGAGACAGTAACAAATATAGAAACATGGGTGAGACAAAACATACAGGGTGAGACAGAAACAACATAGTTTTGAGACAGAAACAAATATAGAAATCATGGGTGAGACAAATAAAATCATGGTTTAGTGTGTGGTTCATGGGTGACAGAACAAATATAACGATTTTCAACAGAAAAGATCTACAAATCATAAAGTGAGACAGCAACAAATATAGAAAATCATGGGTTCTTTCAAATTGGCAGAAAGGAATCAACAAATATTCTTGGGTGAGACAGAAACAAATATAGAAATCATTTTTTTTAACAGATATAGTCTTTGAGACATATATAGAAATCATGGTGAGACAGAAACAAATATATAAGATGAAAGAAAAACAGATATAGAATATGTCTCCCAAATATAGAAATGTGACAGAAATTTATATAGAAATTGGTTATAAACAAATATAAAATTGGATGAGACAGCAACATTAAGAAATCATGTGAACGACAGAAACAGATATAGAAATCATGGGTGATATTTAGTTATACAAATCTCATGTTTAGAAATCATGGGTAGACAGAAACAGATATAGAAATCATGGGTGAGACAGAAACAAATATAGAAAATGGTGAGACAGAAATAAATATAGACGAAACGTTTTGAGACAGAAACAGATATAGAAATCATGAACAAACAGAAACAAATATAGTCAAATGGTTTTCAAGAAAAAATATATAAAATTATGGGTGAGACAGAAACAGATTTAGAAAAAATGGGTGAGACAGAAACATCGTTAATCATGTGAGACAGAAACAAATATTCATGGGTAAACACTAAACAAATATAGATTTCATCTTTAAAATCATGGGTGAGACAGAAATAGAAATCAAATATGAAATTGGGTGAGACAACCAATTCTGACAGATGAAAATCATGGGTGAGACAGAAACAAATATAGAAATCATGGGTGAGAAGACAACAAATAACAAATATAGTGAACAGAAATATAAAACAAAAAAATATAGAAATGTTGACAGACATGATTTTTTTATTTTGAGACAGAAACAAATATAGAAATCATGGGTGAGACAGCTCATGAATATAGAAATAATGGGTGAGACATTCGTTGTTAGAAATCATGGGTTAGACAATATATGTTTAGAAATCATCTGAGACAGAAACAAATAACAAAAATGGGTATATATATATATATATATATATATATATATATATATAAATATATAGACAACAACAAATATAGAAATCATGGATGAGATAGAAACAGATATAGAAATATGGGTGAGACAGATACAAATATAAAAATCATGGGTGAGACAGCAACAAATATAGAAATCATGGGTGAACAACAACAGATATAGAAATTTGGGTGAGACAGAAACAAATATAGAAATCATGGGTGAGACAAACAAATATAGAAATAATATACAAAAACCTATAGAAATCGTTAGACAGAAACAAATAGAAATCATGGGTTCAGAAACAAATATAGAAAATCATGGGTGAGATTAGTATAGAAATTTTGGGTGAGACAGCTTTCGTATAGAAATCCTGGGTGAGACAGAAACAGATATAGAAATTCATGGGTGAGACAGAATAGATATAGAAATCATGGGTGAGACAGCAACAAATATAGAAATCATGGGTGAGATCCGAAATATAGAAAATTGGAAACAGAAACAGATATATTGAGACAGCAACAAATATAGAAATCATGGGTTTGAGACAAAACAGATATAGAAATCATGGGTGAGACAGAAACAAATATAGAAATCATGGGTGAGACAGAAACAAATATAGAAATCATGGGTGGACAGAAAAAGATATATAATCATGTTCAAACAAATATAGAAATCATGTCGCACAGAAACAAATATAAAAAGATCATGGGTGAGACAGAAACAGATATAAAAATAAACGAGACAATCAAATTTAAAAATTCATGAATTAGACAGAAACAAATATAGAAATCAAAGGTGAATGAAACATGGGTGATAGGCAGAAATCCATCGTCGTGAGACAGCACAAATATAATAATGTGTAGAAAAACAGATATACGAAATTTGATTTGAGAGAAGAAACAAATATAGAAATCATGGGTGAGACAGAACAATAAAGAAAGAATGGGTGAGACAAACAAATATAGAAAAATCATGGGTGAGACAGAAACAAATATAGAAATCGTGTGTGAGACAGAAATATAGAAATCATGGGTGAGACAGAAACAAATATAGAAATCATGTGAGACAGAACAGATATAGAAATCAAAAAGACAGCAACAAATATAGAATTAAGACAGAAACAGATATAGAAATCATGGGTGAGACAGAAACAAATATAGAAATCATGGTGAGACAGAAACAGATATAGAAATCATGGGTGATATAGAAATCCATGGGTGAGACAGAAACAAATATAGAAATCATGGGTGAGACAGAAACAAATATAGAAATCATGGGTGAGATAGAAACAGATATATAAATCATGGGTGAGACAGAAACAAATATAGAAATCATGGGTGAGACAGAAACAGATATAGAAAACATGGGTGAGACAGAAACAAATATAGAAATCATGGGTGAGACAGCAACAAATATAGAAATCGTGTGTGAGACAACAACAAATATAGAAATCTGGGTGAGACAAACTATCGAAATCATGGGTGAGACAGATAGAAATCATGGGTGAGACAGAAACAAATTAGATCTATCTATCTATGAGATCTATCTATCTATCTATAGAAATCATGGGTGAGACAGAAACAGATATAGAAATCATGGGTATATATATAGAAGAAATATAGATATATATGAGACATAAATATATATATATATATATAGATAGATATAGAGATCATGATAGAGACAGACAAATATAGAAATCATGGGTGAGACAAAACAAGATATTTAGAAAACAAATAAAAGAAATCATGAAAGAAACAGATAAGAAAAGAAAAAAAGAAAATATATATGAGAAAATGCAGATATAGAAATCATGTTAGAAAAACAAATATAGAAATCATGGGTGACTTCATATTTTATGAGACAAAAGATATAGAAATCTTGGGTGAGACAGCAAAAAAATATAGAAATCATGTGTGAAACGAGGCAACAAATTTTTGTAATCATGGTGAGACAAAACAGATATAAAAATCATGGGTGAGACAGAAACAGATTTAGAAAAATGGGTGAGACAGAACAGATATAGAAATAATGAGACAGCAACAAATATAAAAATATTTTGAGACAAATAAATATAGAAATCATGGGTGAGACAGCAACAAATATAGAAATCAATTATAAACAAATAGAAATCATGATGAATAGAGACAGAAACAAATATATAGAAATCATGAGACAGAACAAATATAGAAATATAGAAAATATAGAAATCATGGGTGAGAGACAGAATCAAATATAGAAATCATGGGTGAGACACGACAGATATAGAAATCATTTGAGACAGTAACAAATATAGAAATCATGGGTGCAGAACAAATATAGAAATCATGGGTGACAGAAACAGATATAGAAAATGGAAACAGAAACAATAAACAAATATAGAAATCATGGGTGAGAAACAGATATGAAATCAAGATATAGGTTATATAATGAGACAGAAACAGATATAGTTGGTGAGACAAATCTGATATAGAAATCATGGGACAGACAGAAACAGATATAGAAATCATGGAAGAAAACAAATACCATACAGAGTTTGATATAGAAATCATGGGTGAGACAGGGATATAGAAATCATGGGTGAGAAATAAATATAGAAAATGCGTGAGACAGAAAAGTTTATTAAGGGTGAGATACAAAAATATAGAAA